GGCTTCCTGTAGTCAGCCCCTGGTCAGTTTCAGTGGCAGCAGCTGAATCTGGAGCCAGTTCCGACTTACATACAAATTCAACTTAAGAACAAACCTATAGTCCCTATCTTGTACGTAACCCGGGGACTGCCTGTATTACAAAAATTGGCACCCAAAATACCAACCCCTCCCCCCAAAATCCACCAGTGGCCTGATAATTTAATTAGGCACTGCCAAATGAAAATAGCCAATTGAATGCTAAACTATGTTCTGACCCTGTTCTTTGGCAGGGATTGAAAAATGTCACTGTTCTTTGGAGGGTCTCTTGAAGAGACCTTCACCAATTCCTACTGCACATAAACCTTACGGTTGTGACAAACTCCCAAGTGCCTGCCAACAGCCAGCAAGCCCCAAGACCTCTATGATTCCTGTAGCTTTACCTGCCTTCTTATGGCTACACTACTAACACCACAGCTACGTAGCGACTGAAAGGTTTTTTTCCTTCGATGTCATTTATCCACCTCTGAGAGGCTGTGTCCAGACTCAGGGGTTTTTTTGAAAAAAGTAGTCTTTTTTCAAAAAAAACTTCACCTGCATCTAGACTGCAGCCACGTTCTTTCGAAATTAAATCAAAAGAACGCAGCTTTTCTTTCGACAGCGGAAAACCTCATTTCACGAGGAAGAACGCCTTTTTTCAAAAGTGCTCTTTCGAAAAAAGGCGTTCTTGAATGCAAACAGGGCTTTTTCAAAAGAGAGCGTCCAGACTGCCTGGGTGCTTTCTTTCGAAAAAGTGGCTTGCTTTTTCGAAAGTACTGCTTGCAGTCTAGATGCTCTTTTTCAAAAGAGGCTTTTTCGAAAGTATCTTTCTAAAAAGCCTCTTTCAAAAGAGGCTTGCAGTCTAGAGTAGCCAGAGAGGGCAGCCACGTCCACGGAAGAACCCCCCCCCCAGTCGTGCCTACACCACGAGGCAACCACGGTGCTCGGGGCACGACACCACGCACAGCTCAGAGCAAGGCAGCTGGACTCGAGGCTTTTTAGCGAAGCCAATTGCGCAGAGGCCGGTGCTGCAGCCGGGGCAGCTCAAAAGAGGCTTGCAGTCTAGAGTAGCCAGAGAGGGCAGCCACGTCCACGGAAGAACCCCCCCCCCAGTCGTGCCTACACCACGAGGCAACCACGGTGCTCGGGGCACGACACCACGCACAGCTCAGAGCAAGGCAGCTGGACTCGAGGCTTTTTAGCGAAGCCAATTGCGCAGAGGCCGGTGCTGCAGCCGGGGCAGCGCGGACCCCGACACAGCCTCGCGAGGGGCCACGCTAGT